TGTCAAACCTTGTTTATGAACCTTGTTGACCAATATAATTGTTAAGAGTGGAACACTCCAGTGCAAGGCACGTTACAGGGGAAAAACGGAAGACATGAACACGGTTAATGTATGGAATACTATAGTTGACATTTCCTGCGATTTTGCATTCACGAAGTTTTGGCTCGTTTCGAAAGGTTGTGGTCAGGAAGTTATTGAAGCGTTGGTAAAATATACACCACTGTCGTCAGGTATAAACGGCAGCGAGTTTGTTTGTTTGTTGTTTACCGCCGCACTCAGTAATGGTAACCATATGGCAGCGGTCTGTAAATAATCGAATCCTGGACCAGACACCCCAGTGATCAATATCATGAGCATCGATCTACACAACTGGGATGCGATGCCATGTGTCAACCAAGTCAGCAAGCCTGACCACCCGACCAAGTTCGCCTCTTACGACAAGCAAACTAGGGTTCATGCAGGTAGCCAAGGTACTGTAAGTCCCCATGGTCCCTGGTATGGTGATCTACCTTCTGGTGTTGGCGATCTATAGCTTGTTTTTATATTGTATTGTCCAAATAGTGCTATCAATTTTAACTCTCCATACTAGTTTTAGTTGTAATTGTGATATTCTAGTTGTTTTACTGTCCTTCGTCGACAGGTTTTTACAGTTTACCATTACTTACTATGTATAAAATTAATTGTTCTCGTCACGATATGGCTGAAATATTGCCGATGTGACGTTAAATTTTAACTCACTCACTCTTACGACAAGCATGGGTTGCTCAAGAGAGTTTGCAAAGGTCGAATCGAGAATGTTATCGAAACGTTGATAAAATATGTATTGTTGTCTTCAGGTGCTCGACGGCAGCGAGTCTGATAGTTTGATTGTTTTTGTAACGCCACATTCAGCAATATTTCAGCTATATGGCGGCGGTTTGTAATTAATCTAGTCATTATTCAATTTACAACGTGTTATGAATTTCGTGCAAACACTAGAAGAACGCGTTTTTCATGATGTGGATGTCAAAATGGTCGATCGACATTTACCGCGAAACGTGCCCGTGTGTTGTTGCAAATGTCGGTTGTGAAGCCCACCTGAAAGTTGTTTTGATATTGCTTAATTTCAATTTAAAAACGTTGTTTAACATTTGTCGTTACGTCTCTCACGTCAGAAACGGTTTAATGCATATAAGAAGGTGGAACAAGATATAACATTTCACAGGAGCGCTTAACGTTTCACAGTCAGTAATTAGCAGGCAAACAAAATACGAGCGTCTTCTTTGATTGGCATTCCCACGATTGATGGACCGTCACATCACTGCAAGACGTCGTTTGTGTCACGAAGCGGCAGGGCTGGACCAATCGTCGTTGGGCAAATGTTTTGTTTTTGTTTTGGACTTTGGACTAACGTGACAGGCACCACAGGATGTGACAAAGAAGGAATAAGCGTGTTCATGCCCTTTAACGTCAGACAGAACAATAGTTCTTGGACTGGCAAATCTTCCAACACAATTCTGTCGTGATCTCACGTCCCTGATACACCGTTAATTGATAATGTCATTAAAGATATATGATACCAACACTTGAGAGATCGTCCCATTGAAAACCACCTACTGTGTCAATAATATATATGTGTGCGTGCGTGTGTACTACACTTATGATATGGCGATCCGGTGCAGAATTGGTCATGCTTATCGCAAGAGGCGGCTGGTTGAACAAGACAGCTGACTTTAGTGGAAAATGTCATCGTATCCCAATTGGTTAGGCCCATGATGCCAATCACTGAATTGACTGGTAGCTCGACTATTAACAGACAGCCGTCACAAATATCATTTTTGTCCAGGTACTGACTAAAACTAGTTTATTCTCCCGTGTGATATGTAACACAAAGCGCGTCCCGAAGGAAAAACGTGTTCTCAGTTCTTTGGCATTCTGGTCGGGAAAAAGACAAGCACTGTATTTTGTTTTGTTCATAAACAGGAACAAGTATAGATTTTACCAGAGGAATTGTGTTCGGAATTCAATACACATGCATGTTGCCATACAGTGGATAGGAGACTACAATCTACAGGTCTCACTTTATTTTTCCCTGTAGACACATGTCATATATGATGCATGCTATTGGTGATCGGCGCCTTGTCCCTCATGCACAGGCAAGTCAGCCAAACAACTTAAAGGAATATCAAATGTTACTATTGGCCACACGTCGTGAATCAATTGCTAAGGAAAATGTCTAAGAATGTTTAAAGTACTCAAACTGTTCTCGGCAATTTAATCTATTCAGAAGAAAACATATTATAATTGAGTGAATAAAAAGATGTAAGGAACACTTTTGATAATATGCACGCCATATCGATTACAGCAAATACACAATACGTCACTGTGGAATCTGCATTTTCATCAACACTGGAATAGAACACGACTTGGTGATGGTCTGAAGAGAGAAAATAATGCATGTCTTGTGTTAGTCACAATATGGCTAAAATATTGTCGATATGACTATAAATCTCATTCACTCTTGATAGAAACTGTTTTTTCTCCTACAGGTTAACATCCTCGTACAATGTCTTCGAACAAATATTACTCGAGACAGAGTATTTTATCACTGCCTCAACTCACTTTGTTTAATGGTGACATGAACAAACACACAATCGATCAACGCGAAAAATGACATTTATATGTTTAGAATGATTGTTTTCATAATATATTACAAATGGATAGACGGGTTTCTTGGTACACCTCTTTTGTACTTGATCATAATGCTAACAGTCATAAAAATACATATTGTAACCCTCTACAGAATCACTGTAAGCTGCAAAAACAATGTCATCAAGTCAACTTGCTATTGATTTTAACGGAAACGTCTTTATTACGACAATGTAGTTCTATTATCAGCTGGCAGTAAATTGGACATATACTGTATGTGTTTGGAGATATCAATACATTGTTTATTTCACTGAATAAAGGTACAAAGTGTCTTTGTGAGTCTAAGAACTCGATGCCGTCTTTTGGTCAGAAGATTTCTTCTGTTTGTGAAGGAAGGTTATTCACGTGAGAATGTCCTGTTTCACCTGGTTATCAATATTTCATCGACGAGATTAGATTACCCATAGGGAGTTTTTGAGGTTCGAACAAATCTACTTTTTTATCTCTTTGCAAATACCATGAGAATGCAAACAAAGCTTAGCATATACATACGATATTATGAATAAACCAAGTAAACATAATTTCCACAAATGAACTGGATAGTAATGTACCGGACATGTTACAAGTAACGTAAGGATTTCATTTCAGTTTGGTTTTGTTTGGGTTGTTGTTTAACGCCGCACTCAGCAATATTCCAGCTATATGGCGGCGGTCTGTAAATAATCGAGTCTGGACTAGACAAGCCAGTTGTCAACAGTATGAGCATTGATCTACACAATTGGTTTACGATGACCACCTGATCGCGTTGGTCACCTCTCACGACAAGCATGGTTTTGCTGAACACCAATTCTAACCCGAATCTTCACGGGTCGAAATATCAGTAGAAGTACGAGTTCGAAGTAATTGCAGCAAATTAATGAAAGTGAGTGAGTTTAGTTTTACGCCACTTTTAGCAATATTCCAGCAATATCACTGCGAGGGACACCAGAAATGGGTTTTACACATTGCACCGATGTTTGGATAAGAACCAAGGTCTACGACGTGACGAGCCAACGGTTTAACCACATGGCTACCCCAACGCCCTATTAATGGAAGTACAATGTAGTGTTGGATATAGAAATGACGTATCCACAACCATCTTATATCTATTGTTGTTTTTTTGGTTGATTTCGGGGTATGTTTTCAATACGTACATACTTTCATGTTTGAACAGTTAATCTACGCATGCTTATTTTCATATATCTGTCCTAACTGTACTTTTCCAAAAACTCTAACTTTGCTTATTTCGCAAAACATTTCGCTGTGAACAGCTCGTCACCACGCTTTGTACCAGATGGTACCCGTGAAGATCTCTATGAGAAGATGATTGTTGTAAAATTCGGCTAACGTGATTGCGGGCGGTGGGTTAGCCTAGTGGTTAAAGCGTCAGCTCGTCACGCCGAAGACCCAGGTTCGATTCCTCACAGGGTGCAATGTATGAATCCCATTTCTGGTGTCCCCAGAATATAGCTGAAAGTGGCGTGAAATTAAACTGACTAGCGTGATTGTGTGTTTGATGCACGTTGGTAAGGCTCGGCGACTAGGTTGATGCATGTTGACTCATATATCGATGCTCATGATGTCAGTCCAGATGTAGCCGTCATACAGGTGGATTTTGCTGAATACGGCTTTCAACAAAAACAAACAAACACACAGAACAATAATAATGTAGTCCTGTCTAAGAAGAGAGAGGAAGTCTAGAAGTATAGGGGAGAGAGGTAGTCGTATAGGATAAGGCCACGAATTCACCTAGAGTTGTCACCCTTAAAGGCCTATACATAACGGTGTGTGAGTGAGTGAGTTTAGTTTTACGCTGCATTGAACAATATTCCAGCTGTATGGCGGCGGTCTGTAAATAATCGAGTCTGGACCAGACAATCCAGTGATCAACATCACGAGCAACGATCTACACAATTGGGATGCGATGTCATGTGTCTACCAAGTCAGCGAGCCTGACCAGCCCGTTTGCCGCCTCTTACGACAAGCATGGGTCACTGAAGATCAATTGTAACCCGGATCTTCACGGGTCCCTATACATAACGGTGTATTGGTGCATTTCATCTGTCTCATTGCAACCATCAAACTGTTACAGACTCAAGATCAACGTTTTCACTGACAATAAACATATTTAAATACCGCACCGTTCAAGTTTCGCTGAATGTTTGACGAACGCTCTGCTGTGAGTTCAATTGAAAGGATCGATGTCCTTTTTTTATCCGTATTTATTGTGAAGCCTGTTCGACGAAGCAACCCCACCCTGCTCATTAATGTTTGTTGGCAGCGAGATTTGTCAATTTTTATTGAAATCAGTTTCAAGCAAAGCAACTAAATAATTGATGACTTCGTTTCATTGATTTATGCAAAACACTATTGTACATATTCCTCCTTGCAATACATGTACACGTAAACAAATAATTATGCATGGTTAGTGTTTGTGTGGCTGTTACAAATACAACATGCATTTTGCGTCACTATACACACTGTGTATACTTCATTTCTAAACTTGGGGATCATGAGGACCCAGAGTAATTCCTACGTAACGTTACACGTGCTAATGCGACCGCGTTTTTAAGGCGAGAAATCGATACCTTTTCTCAGCCACTGTACTAAAGCCATGTTGTGTTATTGTAAGCATCCGTTGTCATGGCGTATTGGAAACAGCAAAATCCTAGTTTAAGTACAAGTCAAACTGGTGGCCATGGCGATGTTAGGCTCTGCAAATAAAACAAAACACTCCGTACATTACAACATCAATACTCAAAAAACAAACAATGAAGTATTGATAGAAAACTTAAGCTAAAGTAATGTAAAGACTTCCGGAAGCATACAGTAATTGTGCGCAGCAACAAACACGGTTGTGTGTAATTAGTACTCTTCTCTGTTTATTGTATACCCATGCGATCTTACAATAGCTATAGAGCCATACAATACGGCTAACGTAGGCGAATTCCTCGTCAGTCTCACAGTCCCTGAACCACATCATTTTCTCTAATACCTTGCCCTTTCCTGCAATGCTAAAGCCCTAAATGAAGCAAGTCTGTTTCCTCAGGTTCTGATTGTCCATATAACAGGTGCTTCGGTTTAAATAGGATTGTTTGTCACATCAATATCATATATTCAGAGATTAATCTTTAGTCTTGAGAATTTCCTATTACACTACAGTATTGCACGGCTGCCGGATTTGCTTTATCGAGTGTTCGGCAGTGCTAGGATACTTCCGTAAACATCTACATTCAGACATTAGTAATAGGCATTTCCATTTTAAGGAGATGCCTTGAAACCGAAGATGTCATGTTCTTTATATTCCTTGTTTCTCTTCTACCATGACATCTCCTCGTTCAGTATATACGGTCCAAATGCACTAGTATGACGTTCTATACATATCTATTCTGTATCTTCAGATGAAGGACGTATCTTCCGAACGCTTACATTGCTATGAATAACTACTGTCTTTTGTTACGTATTTCGCTGCCATATTGTTCGCCATTTTAGCGCATACAGTGCATTATGTTCATCCATTGGCGAAAGGCAAACAAAATAGTAAAACAGGTAATGCTGGTGACAGCGCACTATAGGTGGTCATCTTCGTTATCAAGAATAATGTATTTGCTAAGTGTAGGTCTTTGTTCGAACGCAAGGTATCTACTCCGATGTGTCACTGTTATTGTCCTGCATTGTAATGAAGTGACTGGCCGCTGCTTGATAACGCATAATTATCAACTATTTTCCTCATAAAAACTCATAGAAGACATTAGTTGTGGACAATGACATCAGTACGACTTATGATGTGTCTTGCAGAGATTAATTACGCAATGTTAGTATAGTTATATTCGGTACGATCTATGTTTACCCTTGAGAACACTTGGGGTCATCACAGATTTTCCATTCATATAAATTTCACCACAGTTTGTCCCTTTACATCAAACGGAATTTGTTTCTGATGATAATCAAGACTTGACGTTCTATGTCATGAAAGATACCAGAATATGTAGCATTGAATCTGGGACTGAAGAATACAAGACTGATCCTATTATCAGATGCCGGATAAAGCTGTACAAATTATCTTTAAGTACTTATTGGTAGTATTCAGTGTACATACCTTGGGATGGATATGGCTGTAGAACCAATGGCCTGTCGGGTTTACACCCGCCGCAGAAACCGCCACAGTTCAGGTTTATGATAAGTCCATCGTTGGAGCGACTGAAGATCGTCCATGGCATCCATCCACTACCAGTCCAGTTAACCTGAAGATACAGGATGTGTCAAGTGATTGAAGGTTGTTTCAAATACTCGACTGAGTCTTCAGACTCCATTCTGATTGGGTACCACACGTCCTTATCTACCACTGGTTTTAAACGTAGAATATTTGTCATTTAAATTTTAGCAACCATTCCTAAAGATCGCCAGCGAATGACGAAATGCTAATCCAGCTTGGGCCCATGCAGGTAGCAAAAGTACTGTAGTTCCCATGGTCCCTAGTATGGTGATCTTCAGTTGGTGGCAATATATAGCCCATTATTTTCTATTGTGTTTTTCGATAGAAATATTGTTTTATTTACATGCTAGTTTTAAGTTTACAACCGTGATAGTCTAGTTATTTTACTGTGCGTCGTACTCTCTGAAATACTGCGGATGTGACTTTAAATTTAACTCAACTCAATGTCGGCACTTAAAGAACAGAGTCCCATTGTACGTGCAGCAGAAAGACCAACGCCGTCGGGTGACGATTGTCAACAAGGTCCGGTTGGCTCGTACAACAGAAGTGGAGTTTAAGGTGATGTTTGAATCCGACCATACATATAAGCGGATCGTACTTTAATACTCACATTAGTTTATATATTAGTTCAAAGTCCTTGATATACATGCCCAACGTTTCCCTAAATGCGCGTATACATGTAACGAGCTTATACATTTAGATAACATGGAAAAGAAAATACGGGTATCGTATTAAAGATTTTTGTTATTTTTACACAGTTTGAGTTCAATACATGTATGGCTATGCCAGTTAGGTTGAATTTTAGATATGTTTCTTTAGGATTCTTTTAGAAATCAGTCTGTAAATATTTGCTAACGATAATGAAATTATACTTCAAAATAGTTCACTATATGATATTACGAAACGTTTAAGACCTTACACCAACCAGAAATGTGCTTATCAGTACTCACTACGGAAAAGACTAGGAAACATTTCATTAAATATTGGACCTATCTGTAAATAACGAAAGAAAATTGTGTATTAAAAGTCTAAACGTCAGTTATGCAATATAGAAATAGAAAAGGAAATTCACTTTGGGTTTGTCTGTCCATTTGATAGTGACTATCGAAAGAAATATACAAACATCTATTTGATATCAATGCCACCGATGTGTATATTTCAACGACAAAGAACGAAATTAAAATATTAAATCTGTAACTGTACATTAACATGCATTAGCCGAAGAATGAACTATTCAAACAATGTGTATATCCGAGGGTGGAACAGTTCTGATGATACCAATAACAATATGATATATATTTATCATACCTCACACATAAATGTCGCTTTCTGATTGGGTGAGCTCTCTTCTAACATTTTCAATGTACCCGCTTTTTCAACGTACCCGCTGTCAATGGCAACTCATTTGGTACTTCGTGATAGTAATTATTTATCTTGAGTAACATTGAATCACGTATGGTGTACGGAAATTATCGATGTTTTGCGAATGCAAATCAATGGCAGGGAGATAACTCTAAATCTGTTTTTCTTGTCAGCAAAATCTATCGATGGCTACAAAAATTTGTACCCGTGCTTCAAACAATTCAAAATTAACATTAAGGTGTTCGGTAAGATAAAATCCTTCTTTTGGATAAGGGCATGAGGCCTTTTGTACAATAAATTGCTTTGATTTGGCAGAAACTGGGTTATCGGGAACTGTTCCGTCTACAGCAAAACACTCGTAATTCCATATAACCTCATAACTACGGTATTAGAAATACCCGCACACCACCATGATACCAATTTCTAATACGTTTCTTCTAAGATATCAGAGAATAAAATCTGTCGATTTCTACAGGTTTGTTTGTGATCAGTGGTACAACAATCAAAGTCAAAGTAGTTAAAAAGCTTTTAAAAAGTGTCCTTTGAGGGGACATATCAGAATCGTTAGTGTGACAATGGCCAAGGCCGTTTTGTCTGAAAACAGTCCTCTCTGTTGAGAAATACCTCTCCGCCATCTGCTCAATGGTGTGTCATTTCTTGGTCATTTTCTTCGAATTCAATATCGCCTAAAAGGGCCATATTTCGAAAATATTGATTGATGGTGTTTATAGATGAATTGCAGATTTGGGAATTTTCATTTGCCTTAACAGAGCTCAAAATGAATAAGAAAACATTGAATCCAATATGTCAGTCAAAATACATGACTTATTGCATAAGTGAAAGAACACAAGTGACTGGTACTTGATGTTGCTAAAACTTGCAAGGTTTGACATTCATTTCTACGTTTTGCAAAGTTTGACATGCATTGATTGAGTTGATGTGGAGCAATAGGATAAACATTATCATCTTAAAGGATCACGTTTCTGTAACTTAGTCCTGATGGCCATGAATTTTAATGTTAAAATGCTCTGGTCCTAGTGCTGATAAGAGAATCGGGCGACTGCTTCTAATATAAACAGCTGGTAAAACCCCAGCGGAAAAGCAGTAATTGATGAAAAGAAAATACATTGAATAATTACAATATGCCTTTTAGCCATCATGACACGAAATCATAAATGCAGAAGTGTTCTCGCTAACCTAAACACATTCACTGCTGTTTCAGCTTGGGGAAACAAGTGGCTGCCTACGTCATTTCATTTTGATCCAAACGATACTTATGCCTATCATTCCTCGCTGAACTGGAGTAAACTTAAGACTGTTGCATTTTCCGATGTTCCCTGGTCGTAAAACCAAGGTTGTCCGACGATCGTCGTGGTCCAGTGGTCATTCATTGCTAGAACATTGGTAACCAGGACATTCAATTCTGTAGCTCTATAAACACGTACTTGTTTCGTCTGTGCAATTGATATGCCATATGTTTTACATATTTTCTATGCATTGACATTGTTTTTGTAATTGATGTCGTAACTGCATTAACGGTATTATCTAGTACTTGTAGATATTTCTCATGTATTTATGGTAATTTTTCGTGAATTTATGGATGTCAACTTTTTATTTGAGGAATACGACGTTTCGGAATATATACTGATTCTTTTGTCAGGTAAATGAAAGGCTAGGGAACATATAGTTATGTATATCCGTAATCTCTTATTCACCTGATGAAGGAGTAAGAATATGCTCCAAAATGTCGTATTCCTCGAATAAAGAAGCTGTGTTAAAAATACACTTCACCAGGCGTTTGTATTTCCTTAGCTGAGCAAAACAGGTCGTCCCATTCGAGGTCGACCGGTGCGGATGTAACGGCCCTTGTCTCAATTTTATGTCTTAACCTTCTGTATCGATGTACCTTCTGTACGTTCGACACCCTACCGGTTCGTCATTCGAAACTCAGGTTACAGCGCATTGTCAATTCTTCTCGAGTAATGACTTACTGAGGTGTTATTGATACAGACAGTTTAGCTCTAAACTACATAATGACCAGGTACATGACAGATATATATATATACTCCACAGGCAAAGTAACTAGTATCGTTGGGAACCCTAAACTTCCTTTGATTTGTCAAAGTGACTGGGTTTTTACCCCATAAGACCAGTAGGCGTTTTCTATGTTATTGCCAAAGAGGCTTATTTCAGGGATATGCCTTCATTGTTTGTTTCCGGCTTATGCGCTCACTAGAGCTAATTAAAGGTCACATGCAATGCAGATTCTGATACCTTTCGGTATGGACTTACAGATACAAATCATCAAAAATGCAAATTCAACTTATAAAGTTGAAAAAAATAACGCGATGAAAAAAACCCGCGAAATCGAAGTTTCGATTCACTAAATTTTTACATATTTTCTATGCATTGACATTGTTTTTGTAATTGATGTCGTAACTGCATTAACGGTATTATCTAGTACTTGTAGATATTTCTCATGTATTCATGGTAATTTTTCGTGAATTTATGGATGTCAACTTTTTATTTGAGGAATACGACGTTTCGGAATATATACTGATTCTTTTGTCAGGTAAATGAAAGGCTAGGGAACATATAGTTATGTATATCCGTAATCTCTTATTCACCTGATGAAGGAGTAAGAATATGCTCCAAAATGTCGTATTCCTCGAATAAAGAAGCTGTGTTAAAAATACACTTCACCAGGCGTTTGTATTTCCTTAGCTGAGCAAAACAGGTCGTCCCATTCGAGGTCGACCGGTGCGGATGTAACGGCCCTTGTCTCAATTTTATGTCTTAACCTTCTGTATCGATGTACCCTCTGTACGTTCGACACCCTACTAGTTCGTCATTCGAAACTCAGGTTACAGCGCATTGTCAATTCTTCTCGAGTACTGACTTACTGAGGTGTTATTGATCCAGACAGTTTAACTCTAAACTACATAATGACCAGGTACATGACAGATATATATATATACTCCACAGGCAAAGTAACTTGTATCGTTGGGAACCCTAAACTTCATTTGATTTGTCAAAGTGACTGTGTTTTTACCCCATAAGACCAGTAGGCGTTTTCTATGTTATTGCCAAAGAGGCTTATTTCAGGGATATGCCTTCATTGTTTGTTTCCGGCTTATGCGCTCACTAGAGCTAATTAAAGGTCACATGCAATGTAAAACACAACTTTGCAAATTCTGATACCTTTCGGTATGGACTTACAGATACAAATCATCAAAAATGCAAATTCAACTTATAAAGTTGAAAAAAATAACGCGATGAAAAAAACCCGCGAAATCGAAGTTCAATTCACTAAATTCACCCCAGCTTGGGTGAAAAAGTGGTTTCAACAGCTGTGCTGCGCTGCGCTGGGTTGGGTTGCGCTCATAGCGCATGCGCAGTGAATAGGTTCGCGCAGCTTGGGAGCGGGATGTCCGGATTATAAGGTCGTGAGCAGGAGTGGTCTAATCAAAATAAATAGTAAATAATCTACTCGTTACATAAAAAGAATCTTGTCAGGATCTAGATCTACTCAGCTATGTGTCAACCAGTGATGCGTTCGACATTTCAAGGCGGAAAACCTTCGCTGGTGGTGAGTACTCGATGAAGGCTTTGATGTGAGCTACTTTTCTAATGTTTTGTTGATATTTCACAGGCGCGAGCTTTTTA